AGTGTGCTGTGATTGCCCGCGGCCGCGCAGTTGAGCCCAGAATTCACACTCCCCAGGTCTGGCCCGGGATGCCCAGGCTCGGCGAAGACAGGGCGGGCCCCGAGGGCCTCTTCTCAGTTGAGGGCCACCCACTCCTCCAGTGATTTGGCCCTCTTGGCCAGCTCGGGCGGCGGCCCGATGTGTTTCTTGTAGAACTCGCTGACCTTGAGGTTGACGGGGCGGTCCTTGAGGTTTTTCTTGATCTCGTCCGTGACGGTGGACACGTTCTTGTTCGACAGGACAAGCGGCTTCTTCACCTTGGGGCCGGAGAGCACCGACTGCAACCACTCCGCCTGTGCAGTCGTGAGCTCCGCCGGGGGCGTCTTCGCGCCATCGGGCTTGTCGTCCTCGCGGCTCTTGATCCCGATCTTGGCGGTGACTTCGTCGGCGATTCGCTGGAGCGCCGCAGGCGAGTGGGTGATCGCTTCTCGGGCTGGCGGCTGGAGGGCGGCGGATCCGCTTGGGCCACTGCTGGCCGCGCTGCCCGCCCTCTGCTGCCCTTCGATGGGCCCAGGAGACGGGCCAGCGCCGCGCCCTGCTTGGCGCAGCGCTCCTCCTCCTCCTCCTCCTCCTCCTCCTCCTCCTCCTCCTCCTGGCGCTCCTTGTCGACCGACGCCCGGTACTTTGGATCGATCTCGTAGAACTTCTTCTGGGCCCGCTCCACCGAGGTTTCCTTATCCGAACGGTCCCGGCGCCGGCTGTCGTGGCGGCTGGCCGACCTGGAAGCAGACGAAGGGGAGTCGCGGTGCCAGCGGTCCCGGTCCCTGTCACGGTCTCGATCGTGGTCCTGTTGTCTGTCACGATCTCGGTCCTTGCGCCAATCTTGCTGGTGACCTCAGTGGCCACTGCGACCAGGCGGTGGAATGCCCCAATTTCCCATGGTGCTGCACTGGTGGTCGCTGTATTCACGGACGACTAGCTGGAATTGTGGTACACCATGATTAGTTCCAGAACCCAGACATTGATTTCGTCTGCGCTGGACCCCAGCTGACGGCCCCGGAAAATACAAGCCAAAACCTGGGCCCAGCAGAGTCCGAAGCTCCCCGGAGGGCGGCCGATCCAGGGTAGGAGAGTGCGCTTCTCGCGTGGTCCCCGGTCACATACCTGCGCGCGGTTGTTCTTGCAAGGCAGCCGCAGCAGAGATCGGCATCGAATCCAGATCTCCACATCCAGCCATTCTCTTACTTTGCGAGCCCCTTCAACACCCCGTTGGGGTCCACTGAGTGCCACTGGAGATAATGTGAGGGAGAATGCTCCCTGCAGGAATACCAGAACACACTCGCTGCGAAAACATTTGGAGATTGCAATGCAGTCGTGGACATACCTGCGCCACGTGATTTAGGTTCGAACGAGTCATCGATGTTCTTGTGCCCACCAGTGGCACTGCGACTGCTGCCGAGAGCATCACTCCCCCGATGCGGATGCTTTGCAGGACGCACAGGCGGCCGACGGCGATGACGACGATCATCAAGGTAAAAGCAAGGAGTGCCCGGGCCAGGGCACAGAGGGGAAGATGCCACCAACCATTGCTGAAGCCTTGCGCGGCCGCTTGGACCCGCTCTTGAGGCTCCTTGCGCACCGAGATTACGTCGCCGTGGCATCTCGCCCGGCATGCTGCTTTCACGTCGCGCCACGGGCCTGCAATATCTTCAGCACAACAAGCTTCGAATGCCTGGTCGGCGTCAGCGACCGCCGCGCTCAACTCTCCGAAAAGAGGGTTGCAACGCCGGAGACGCCTATCTGCGGCGGGTGCGCAGACTTCTCCTTGGAGATCCCGCAGGGGCGGCAGCGCCAACGTCCTTCATAGTCCAAACTTCCCGGGCAATGCCGGTTCGTTAAAGGGCTCCCCGAAGTCTCCGGGCTAGGATTTTCCACGCGCGTTTCCCAATGCATCCCGACCCGTCGATCATTCATCTGAAGCAGCTGTGCCCCCCCATGTTCGAACGCGATCGAAAACCGTCAGCTCGAAGGCTATTGCATTTGATCTGGATGAATCCATGGGGAAGTTGACCTACAAGTCGCCGGCGTTTGTCGTGCAGTAGATGGCCCAAGAAAGAAGGGCCCCCAATTTTGCTTGAGCAATCTCCCATGTGCGTGCTTCCTCTTTTGTCATCGACGGCTGATGCTGCCAAATCGGGCCCTTCACGATTGCCGTCTCGAGGGAGGCGGCGAGTTAGTCCATCAGCCTGGCCGCCCGATCGTCTGCTAGACGCACCTCGCCTGGCGCAAGCCCGAGAATTCCAGCCAGATCAATCTCGGCATGGCCCATTCCGCGGGCTGGGGTGGAATATTGAATCGAAGTGCCGCGTCGCGAAGTTGTTTCCCCCCCTGGCCTGGAGACGCCCGGGCAGAAGTAGTCGGGAGCTCCGAGATCGCAATTTCCAGTGCAACTCCCGTCGAAGGACCCGTTCTTGGGGCCGCGCTCCCATCCGCCGCGGCCCTTGCGACCTGCGTACTTCTCTGGGGAAGTGCTGGGGCATTCCTTTGAAACTATTGTGGAATGCTGATTCGGCATCCCGGAACGTTTTGTTGGAATTGAGACCATAGATCAATTTTCTTTGTTTGGTATGCTGTATGACCAGATGGCGCAGATGCCGCGCCCGCGCTGGGGCGCGCCGCATTTGGTTGACGGGCGAGGCGACGACTGAACGTACGAGCGCGCGTGCCTTCCCCAGTGCCAGGCCACTTGGCATCCGAAGTGGGGGCACGTAGAGAGTCAGCCCGCTAGATTTCAACAGAAAGTTGATGTTGTGACGAGCCCCAATACGGCGAGAAGGAATCTTGAGCACCAGGTTGGCCACGTCCAGCGCCCGATGCAGGAGTGGTGCCAGGCCCCCACGCCGCCATTTGGGCATCTGAAACTGGGGGGCCTTCGTAGCCTTTAGCGCCACAAAAACCACGCTGTGTTGCAGGCGGTAAGGCCAGATCGGTCCCGCAACTCCTGTGGTGGCGTGCCGATGGGTTTGGCGAAGACGGCGCTGCGCCTTGAAAGGGAGGTCGCTGTGGTTGACGCCGCATAACTCTGGCCCCCCCCCAGTGCTGACGGGCATCAGGTCCTTCGGTCGACTGTCAGTGCGCCCCGAGCTGGCAAGAGGGTCTCGTTTGCCCCGTCGCCGCGAATTCGGCCGTGAACGACGGCCACCTTTGCGCCTGACAGGTGAACAAGTTTGGCAGTGGCGCCGAGAAGCTGAAACAATATCCATTTGGTTGCACAAGGGGCGCTCCATCCTGATCGTTGCGGCCTCAATCGCAAACGCTTGGACCTCAGTTGGGGCAGTCGTGATTGGGATCCTCGTGACGCTACCCAGTGAAAAAACGCAGGACCCTGTACCTAGGACGGTGTGCGTGGGTGTCATCCGGCCGGAGCAAGGCCCCGATGTGTTCATATAGCCACCGCGGTCACTCCGTTGCAGAATGGCTTTTCCAATCTACAAGCCGCTATGATTGCTCAGTGCGTGCGTCGTGGCCGCGGCGTTGAGGCCCCGGCGCACGATGTGACGGCAGGAGTCTGGTTGTCTCAAGTGGCCTGCAGACCCTGCACCAGTGGACTCCTCGTGGCGAGCTGGGCGATCCACATCGGCGGCATGATCCGGATTACCCGCCTAGCCCACCTAGGGGCCCGCCTGCGGGCAGCAGCCACTCGGAGCCTGGCCGCGCCGCGCGCTGCCAAGGGATGGGTCAGCAGGGCGACTCTGGTCTCCTGCCAGTGGCATGGCCCTTGTGGAAACATGGGGTCAACGATGCAGTATAGCAGCCAACCGAGTTCAATGGCGCTGGCTGTCTGTGAAAGTGCAGTGCGCCACGCCCATTGTGCAACCTCGTCTCTTTCTGGACCCGAAATGCTCCGCTTGCACAGCTTCATACACCGCAGAAGTTCCGTCCCACATGTTTTGGATGATGGTCGTGGCCATCGGATATGCGTAATTCGATTGGAACCTTGAGCAGGGATGCGTCCCATGCCAACCATGTTGCACGTTGTTTACCGCAAACCAAAATAATATGATGATGAGGAGGATGTAATTGTGGAAGTAGTAGAAGTGGGGTATGCAATGACGGAGTAGACGATGTAACGAACTCAAAGGAATAGTCCTCAGACCGGACCTGCACCCCTGGACGGCCACCTTGCCCGGCTTGGGTACAGAAGTGTATGATGTATGTTCAAGTCGATTTCCCCAATCACCGATTCGTCTCCAGACCGACGTCCAGGAACCACGCGTGTGCGCAAGGGCTCCCCCCTGCTTGAGCGCCCAGGTCTAACCCCAGGCCGGTCTGATCCGGCCCGGTCTGAAACCCCATGATGATGACTAGGGTGATCATGTTGTTGCTGTTGTTGTTGTTGTTGTTGTTGTTGTCGCTGTTGTTGTTGTTGTTGTTGTTGTTGATGTTGTTGTTGTTGTTGTTGGTGTTGTTGTTGTTGTTGTTGTTGTTGTTGTTATTGTTCATGCTGGTGATGATACCGGATGATGGTGGATGATAGCCAAGGGAGGTGGAGCAGGAGAGGTTGAGCATGACGTTGTTGATGATGCTGCTGATGACGAGGAGGATGACAAGGAGAAGGAGGAGGAAGAAGAGGAGGAAGAGGAGGAGGAGGAGGAAGAAGAGGAGGAGGAGGAGGCAGAGGAAGAAGAGGAGGAGGAGGAGGAGGAAGAGGAGGAGGAGGAGGAAGAGGAAGAGCAGGAAGAGGAGGGGGAGGAGGAGGAGGAGGAGGAGGAGGAGGAGGAGGAGGAGGAGGAGGAGGAGGAGGAAGAGGAGGAGGAGGAGGAAAAGGAGGAGGAGGAGGAACTGGAGGGAGTGGGAGTCGTGAGCGCCAAGAGGGAGGAACACCAGGAGGGAGGGGGGATGGGGCGATGAAGGGGGGACGGGAGGAGACACCAAGGGAACCGCAGGGGAGGCGGGCGCGGGGACCCCCGCCTCCACCCCGTGCCTGCGGGGGGCGCGTCCCGCGCCGCGGGCCCTCTCAGGCAGGCGGCGCAGGTCCTCCGCGAGCTCCTCGGGCAGCACCTCTGGCAGGACCTCGAGCAGCGAGGGCAGCGGGAGCACCTCTGGCTCCAGTGGCGCTGCCCCGCCCGCCCGGCCTGGGGGAGGAGGGGAGGGCGGAGAGAGAGGAGGAGAGGACAGGGAGGGAGGGGCCAATGATGAAGAGGAGAGGTTGGGCGGAGGAGAAGGGGAGAAGGGGAGAAGGAGAGCGGGAGGAACATATGACGAATGGGGCCACCACTATTCTACCATGTTTCCACATTGCTCCCATGGGCGCCCCGAGCGCTTTTCGGGCCAGTTTGGGCGCCGTTTTCCTGCCGAGCCCTCCCGTGTAAACTCGTTCGAATCCTCTTTGGGTCGTCTGCAAGGGTATTGGTGTCGTATTGGGCCGTTTTGGGGGGTCCTGAGGTTGACACTGGGTCCTCTCGGTTTTCTTAGGGGGGCTTCTTGGTGCCTCCTGGCGCCGGCTTGGGGGCCTTTGACTCCTTCCAGAAACCACCCGTGGCCCCACTGCATGGACATTCTTCCCCAATTGTTTTATTATTGTGTGCCAGATCGAATCAAACATTACTATCTCGTGTCCATGCCTGCTTCCTCGTATACCTCATAATCGAGAGCTGTCGCAGAAGCTGCGCACATTGAGTCATCTATGATTTTTCGCTGCTTCGCCAATCAGCTCTTGCACTGTAAGTCTCGTCATAACTAACGAGGCCAAATCTGAAACTTGGATCACAGTCGCTGTTCCCCTCTCTCGCAACAGTTGAAGCAAGCGCATCAATGTGCGCAGGCGGGGGACTGGTCAATCAGCGATTGCGTGTCGACGAAAGCCACCAGGTGGTGTCGCTTCAATAGTGGTTATGTTTCGGCTGCATGTGCTCCAGCTACGCAGCTTTCCGCGAGCGCGGGCTCAAGGGCAGTGTGCCTGCGCTCTCGGTGGAGCCCTGGAGCTGCGACGAAAAGCCCGTCGAATCTGCCCGTTCCTTATGTTCCATCGCACCAGATGCGCTCGGGTTTGCGCAAGCGGCGCAGCAAGAACCCGCGTCGTTTGGGCCCGCCCTATTTTCATAGCGCCAGGTACGCCCAAATATTTTGCTGTCTTGTGGGTTCCGCGAGCCCAGAGCTCGTTCCAAGACAGCAAGGCCCTGGGCGCATACGGTGCGACGAAAAAAGCAGAGCTATATGGCGCGAGTTCATGTTGCGTCGCCAGCAGGAGCTTGGGCACATCTGGGGTGGCACAAACAAGACGAGTACACCATCGGCAGGATCTTGCGGCCCCTCCAAGCAGAGCTCGGACGCGGGGCGCGCGGCGAGCACCACTGTCCGCGCGCGAGCGGTGAGCCCTTGCTTCGTCGACGCCAGGCGCGTAACTGCTGCAGTGCCTGCATTGCGCAGCCCCTGGGCGCCTGCGCTCGGGAGCCCCTCAGGAGGCCTTCGCGAGCCATTGCCCAGCGCGTTTCCGTGCCGAAGAACGGTCTGACGGCGGTCGCGGGAGGGGTTAGCAGAGGCCCGCGCTCTCGCGCGAGCACGGCGGAAGCACTCACCAGCGAGTGTTGCCATCGGCATTTGCCCCGGCCCTGCGCTCCCAACAACTCATAGCCGCAAGGCCACCTGAATGGCGAACAACTCTCGCCAAACCATGCGACAATCGTTCGAAGGATATGACCAAATGCGATATGCCCTTCTTGCGCAGCGGGAAACGTGCCTTCGCCTTCCGAAGTTGAAGCAAGCGCATGGATGTGCGCGGGCGGGGGGGCAGGGTGTCCAATATGCCTTTCTGCGTTGAAAGTGCCGTTCAGCAACAAATGCCAAGCGGGGCTTTTCACTTTGGATAGCGCCGTTCAGCGATGAACCTTTGACGAAAGCCACCTGGTGGTGTCGTGTTAACTTTGACGAGGCTTGTAGGATACTCTTATTTCAGCCTCCAGGAGTTGGCATGTTTTTTTTTCCAAATCAGATACATATTTCTTAGTATATTTGTTCGTATAACTATTACAAAGAATATATTCTAAGGAAGTGGGCCGTGTCATCGGTTTGGCTGCTATGCAGCCGCCGTCGCCGCCCCGTTGCCGCCTCGTCGCCACCCGTCGTCTGGGCCTGTCTGTCGCTCTGGCGGCTATGGCGTCGCCGTCGCCGCCCCGTCGCAGCCTCGTCGCCGCCCGTTGCCGCCTCGCATAGATTACACCGCATATAATTTCCTTTCAGAAAATCCTCTATTCCCCTCTCCCCCCTGGGATTCTCGGCCCCCCTTTTTCGTATTGCAATTTGCACATGATTCTGTCCCATCGTCCATCCATACCATCCCAGCCCAACCGGTACCAGCCCCCCCGCCATCCTCTGCAACAGAAATACTATGCGCGCGCACGTTTATCAAAAGCCGTATGTTTCTAATAATCCCTTGCAGCAAATTGGACGACATGCACACGCGCGCGTCGTCGCGCGCGCATGCCGGAATCCTTCAATAACCTCCGGGCACAGGGTTTCGCAACACGGGTTTTCAAAACAGCTTGTGCGCGCGCTCTTGCGAACTCTTAAGGGAACCGTCGATTTTGAACATGTCCAGAAGATGTTACCAAACGGGCTTCGCGCGCGCACATGTCGAAATCGTTCGAACGCCCTTGCGCGCGTGCAGTCGCGAGAATCCTTTGCAACAAATCGGACGAAGTGCACGCGCGCGCGTCGTCGCGCGCGTGCCGAAATCCGTCAAACAAATTCGGTGTTGTAGCGTTTTCAAAACCGAGTGTCCAAACACACAAACAAAAACACATGTCATCGCAACATCAGTTGTCAACAAAAACGTGCGCTCGCGCTTGCGAATTCTTGACACAACCATAGTGTTTTAAAACATGTTTCATGGAAATCTGCCAAACGGGCCTCTCGTGTCGCATACGGACATCATTCGTACGCCCTTGCGAGCGTGCTGGGGGGCACGATCCGTGCCAAGTAGTTCCATGCGGGCCACTCTCGCGCGTCGGCCGCGCGCGCAACTCTTTTTTTTCTCTCCCCAGAACCTTCATCACCGACGCGAGGACGTCGCCATCGTCGTCGGCGTGATCAGCATCGGCGCCCGCACTGGCCGCGCCTTCGTCGTTGTCAACAGCGCCACCAGCATCGTTCGTATCATCATCGTGTCTACCGTTATAGACGTTGCCATGATACCGCGCCCGCCCAAGTCGCTGACTCGCAGTGAAGTGCCCGTTGGGAAGTGCCCAGCAGTCAGCGCCGCCGCGGCCGCGTCGGTCGCGCCAAACTAGCTGGCCGCTGCGCGCGCGTACCAGGGTTGGCGCGGCCGCAGAGATGCACCAACCAACGCCAAGCATGCATCGCAATCGCCACCGCATTGGTTTTGCAAACCAAGTTGCGGGTGGGTGGGTGGGCTGTTTTCAAGAGCGTGGGATGTGTCAACTCGTGTGTTAACATCGCATAAATCGCGCCTCCTGTGTTGCACCTCGTAGATATGTTTTCCGTTGGTAGCCCCCCCGCATTCTCCTTTCTAAAGAGATATGAGTTCTACCACCCTTCCTCCCCGGGGAAGAAAGACCCCCGGGAGCCGATGCAAAACGCGCCGGATTTTGACCCAATGTCCATCCTACCTGTGAACTCATACTATCCCAGCCAGGCCGGTATCGGCCTCCCCCCGTCATCCCCTGCAAAAATATTATGCGCGTGCACTCGTTTATCCAAAGTCATAGGTTTCCAAGAACCCCTTGCGACAAGTTGGACGAAGCGCACACGCCCCCGCCGTCGCGCGCGAATGCTGGAATCCTTCAATAATTTCTGGTTTCGGAAAGATTTCAAAATCAAGTGTCCAAGAAATCTCCCCCCAAAGAAGATGGTTTCGCAGCGCGGGTTTTCAAACGCAAAGAACATGCGCCGTTGCGATTTTCGGAGAAAGCCATCAGTTTTTTTCATACATTTTCAGGAAGTACGACCAAACGGGCTTCGCGCGCATGTCGAACTCGTTCGAGCGCCCTCGCGCGCGTGCCGTCGCGAGAATCCTCTGCGCCGAATGAGACGACGTGCGCGCGCGCGTCGTCGCGCGCGCGTGCCGGAAGCCTTCGAAAGGATTTTCAAATTGGGTGGCCAAAAAAACATACAAAACACATGGTTTCGCAACGCAGAGTTTCAACAAACGCGTGCGCGCGCACTTGCAAACCATAATTTTTCAACATGTTCATAAAATGCTACCAAGCGGGCTTCGCGCGCGTGTGTCGAAATCGTTCGAACGCCCTTGTCAAATAATACCGTGCGTGGGGTGGGGCGGTCCGTGTCAAATAATACCATGCGCGCCGCTTTGGCGCGTCCACCGCGCGCGCATTTCGAATTCCTTTTCGAAGCCTTTATCGCCGACGCGAAGATGCTATCATCGTCGCCGGCGTGGTCGGTATCAGCGCAATCACTGGCCGCGCTGTCGTCGCTGTCAGCATCGTCACCAACATCGCTACTATCACCACCATCGTGTCTACAAGTGTCGACGTTGCCATGATATCGCGCCTGCCCAAGTCGCCGACTCGCATTCAATTGCGCGCCTGGATGAGCCGAGCGCCACCGCGGCCATTTCGGTCGCGCCAAATTACTTGGCCGCTGCGCGCGCGCGTGCGCGGGCTGGCGCGGCCGCAGAGACGCGCCAGCCAGCGCCGAACGCTCATCGCAATCGCAACCGCATGAGGTTTGCAAACCAGTTGCGGGTGGGTGGGTGGGATGTGTGCGCGGGCAGTGGAGTGGGCAACGCACGGCGAACACAAATTAATTGCTCTGCATCGGTTGCGCCGCATATGCTGCGCCGCGCAGATGGCGCCGCAGAAATTGCACAACATAGATTTCACCAGCTAGATACCATCACATTTATTGCACTACCGCGCAGATTGCGCAACATAGGTCGCGCATTGCAGGCTTGGCTTAGAGGCTACACCACCGCCTTCTAGTCCAGGCGCTTCTGTGCCATCACAATGCGAGGGGCCAAACATTGCTGTTTCGACGTCGCGAGGGGCGTTCGGCAGGGTTGCCCGCTATCGCCGCTCCTGCTCGCGGCCGCGATCAACGTCCTCATTCGCGGGATTGCGCGTCGAATTCCTGACGGCGCCTTTCGAGGTTGCGCAGACGACCTTGCGCTCGCAGTCGCGGCCGTCTGGGCCTGTGTGCCGGTGGCGGACGCGGGCTTTCCCGACTTCGAGCGCGTCGCAGGGCTCGCCCTGACCTGTCGCAAGACGGTCCTCATTCCGCTCATCCCCGCGACCCCCCTGGAGGCGCGCGAGCGCCTGGCCGAGATCGCCCTGCTTTGAGGGGCGCTGGGGGTCGCTATCGCAGCAAAATATTTCGGGTGCTACATCGGGCCAGGGAGAGGGCAACGCACTTGGGACGCCGCCCCTAGGAAATGCTCGGACCGCGCGGAGGTGTGGCGATCCCGGCGCGTGGGCACGTTTAACACGATCGAAGCAGACTGGATGTACGTGTCTTCGGTCCTCCGTATCTGCGCGCAGCTTGACCCATTGCCGCCGAACATTACCGAGGTCGATAACAACGCGCTGCGGCGTTTGTTTGTCGGGCCACGGAATTGGATGCCTTCTGCATTGCTCATAAACCTCACGCTGTTCGGCTTCCCCCGTGAGCTGTTAGACGTTTAATCCGCCCCCGCTGCCGCGCGTGCACGAGTGGTCTTGCACGACAGTTTCAAAAGCGATGGACATCGGGTCGCGAGCAGGGCGAACGCACTTCGGAGTCTCGCGGCGGCCGCTAGTGACAATGTCGCCCGCGTCGCCGATGTTCACGACCGGTGCCATAACAGCTTCCTTGTCTCGCTTGAGAGCGCCGCCGTTCCCATGCGCGGTGCGGCCGCCGATGAGCGCGCCGTGATGGATATCCAGCACTCTGAGCAGCCGTGGGTGGGATGGCATGCCAGATCTGGCATATTCGGTCGACCAGACTTTGCAGCGGCAGCTTCGGCGCATCCCCGTCGCAAGTTGCGCCGATGGCAGGTTCGAGCGCCGCCCGGGCACCGGGTGTCGCGACGGACTCGCGTCGCCCAGACCATCTCGGACCTCGTCGCGCCGAGAGTCGTGGCAGTCGTGGTGCGAACCGCTTGAAATAGTTGGGAGACCGCGCTCCGATTTCAGGGCCGGTCCTCGTGCGTCATGGGCTGCGCCGGAGAGGGCGCGCATGAGCGTTGCGCGTTTCGCCGCTCCTACCGTGACTGCTGCTCGCGGTGCCTGCGCCTGCGGCTATGGAGCGCGCTCTGGAAGACTTCATCGGCATCGACCGATCTTTGCTGTCATCGTGGGGCAATCCGTCGTTGCCGGAGGCGGGGAAGAGCGCATTTAGGGCGATCTCCATCTACGCCTTGCACGTGACGCATGCGCAGGTTCGCCGCGGCCTCCAGGCGGCTGAGGCCGAGAACGCTTTCCGAGGTCACTTCCGCGAGGCCACGCGGCGCCACCCGAGGTCCACGGGGCTGATGGTGAGTGCTTTCGGAGCGCGGGGCGCGCGGAGTAGAATGCATTTTCTGGTTCCGTAGCTTCCCCCTCTCCTCTTTGTCCCCCTTCACTCGCTTTCATTCGCTTCTGCCGCTGTGCGGCCTAAGCGATGCTATGCTTGATCGTGCTGCGTCCACGTGCGCGATTCTCGAGGCTTGGTCCCTTTGCCGTGGCGGTGGGGTCGCCTCGGCACTTGTTGTCTCCCCCCCTCCCTCCCCCCCCCCTGAGTATGCGCCCGGCGCGCGCAGTTTCTCATGCGAGCCCGCGGCTTCGCCCGCCTCGTCCTTGAGGGCCCAGGCGCATGCCCGCGCAGGCGTTCCGTTCCGTTCCGTTCCTCCCTCCTCCTCCTCCCCGCTTGGTGGGTGAATTCGTATCGCTCCGCGTTTGCACGCAGCACCAGAGGAGTTAACAATCTCTCTCTCTCTCTCTCTCTCTCTTTCTCTTGCACCACACGCATTGTGCAACGCAAATCGCACGACACAAGTTGCAACCAGAAGCTGCGCAACGTAATTCGCACCATATAGATTGATTGAACCGCGTATATTGCACCACGTAGATGGCACCCCATATACCTATACGACCACCCCTCGGGTGATAAGAACACTGTGTGTGTGCGGGGGGAGGGGCGGAACCAGGGTTTCGTTCAATTTTTCCCACCCGGCGGGACACCGACCAGACACTCACGGGACACCGACGGCGGGACATTGACGGCGGGACGCCGACGGGACACCGACGGGGCACCGACGGGACACCGACGGGACACCGACGGGACACCGACGGGACACCGACGGGACACCGATGGGACACCGATGGGACACCGTCGGGGCACCGACGTGACGCCGACGGGACACCGACGGGACACCGACGGGATATACGGCGGGACGCCCCTGGCCACTGCCCGCGAGCACCGACGGGACACCGACGGGACACCACGGTGGGATACCACGGCGGGACACCCCCGGCCACGTCGGCCCACTGGAAGGGCGGTCTTATTGTATTGACCCGCGCAAGCCACAGCGGAGGCATTCCTCTTGCCCGCCTACGCAGCTCCGCCTCGTCCGCACGCGCGACGCGAAACCGAAACCGAAACCGATTCATCGGTGGGGGGCTTTCGGTCCCCTTCGATCTGACCCCCAACCTCCGATTGCTCCACATATATTGCAAAACGTAGTGTGCTAGAAACACACAGTTTAGGGCCCGCGCTGGCGAAGGTATGTTTTTAATTTCTTGGTTTTCCCTGCCCATGGCCGCCCCGTGGCTGCCCCGTATCCTGGCTTGGTTTTCCGCGTTTTCGCCCGGTGCCTGCCAGTGGCTGCCTTGTGGCCGTGACGTGTGCTAGCTTGCTTTCCTGGTTTTTCGCTCAGTGATCGCCCTTGGCCGTCTCGTGGCCGCCCCATATGTTGGCCCGTTTTTAAAAATTTGTCGCTTGGTTCCCTGCCCATGGCCGCCTCCTGGCTGCCCCGTATCCTGGCTTGCTTTTCCGCGTTTTCGCCCGGTGCCTGCCAGTGGCTGCCTTGTGGCCGTGACGTGTGCTAGCTTACTTTCTTGTTCTTTCGCTCAGTATTCGCCCTTGGCCGCCTCGTGGCCGCCCCATGTGTTGGCCCACTTTTCCAGATTTTCGCTTGGCTCCCTGCACATGGCCGCCTCATGGCTGCTCCGTGTGCTGGCTAGATGAAGAGTGCACCACGTATTTTGCGGCACACAAAGTTCACAACGCATATTGCGGCACACGTGTTGCACCAAATCGATTGTAACCCATAGCTTGCATCACATAGCTTGCACCAGATTTATTGCATCACGTAGGTGGGGCCGCATACAGTGCACATCCAGAGTGCAAGAACTCCCTGTCTGGAGTGCGGGAGTGCGCCCTTGCACATCTGTTTTAGTATTGCAGGGGCCTCCTGGGTGCTCCTCGGGGGCTTGCTTGAGGAGCCTTGGGGCCTCTGAGGGCCTCTTGGTGCCCTCTGGTGTGTCTTGTGGCGGGCTTGGGCTGGGCTTGTGGCATCTAGGATAACGTCTTGGGGCGGTCGTGCGACCGTCTCGGGTTGTGCTCGGGCCGTCTTGGGCCATCTGGGGAGAGAAGGCCCTCCGAGGCTGCTTTGGACCCCTCGAACCTCGAGCCCACATCCACGATCCTCCACCCGGATCTGCGCCAGCCGTGCACCCGCAGGTCGCACAAGAATAAGGCTGGTAGAGGCGGGAGCCGAGGGCTCGGCGACGCGGGCGAAGGCTTCGCCAAAGCAGAAGACCTGGGACGAGGACTGCTTTCTTCTTCTTCTTCTTCTCTTTCTTCTTCTCCTTCTCCTTCTTGATATCATTAATAATCTAATTTTCCTTATTGGTTTCTTACTCTTCTCCTTCGTTGTCGCCATCGTCGTCGCCGCCGCCGCCGTCGTCGTCGTTGTCGTCGTCACCGTCGTCTTCACTGTTGTCGCCGTTGTCGCCGTTGTCGCCGTCGTCGTCGCCGCCGCCGCCGCCGTCGTCGCCGTCGCCGTCGTCGTCGTCGTCGTCGTCGTCGTCGTCGTCGTCGTCGTCGTCGTCGTCGTCGGCATCGTCGTCGTCGTCGTCGTCGTCGGCGTCGCCAGAGCCGCTGTCAGTGCCGTCGTTGCCGGCAGCAGGGATGGCCCACACAGCGACGGGCCCGCGGGAGGGCAGGACGGGCGGGGCAGGCCGTTGGCGGCGGGTAGCCCCAGTCGGGCCCGCGAGGACAGGGCCCGGGAGCGCCTGGCGCGGCTCCTGGGCGGCCCCGCGGCGGGCGCGGCGGAGCCGCGGAGGCGGCCTCCCGCCTTCGCCGCGCCCGGCGTTGCCGCCGCCGCCGTCGCCGCCACCGCCGCCCGCCGTCACCGCCGCCCGCCGTCGCCGCCACCGCCGCCACCGCCGCCGTAGTCGTCGCGCCCCAGTGCCGTCGCCTTCTTTGGGGGGTTTCTTTCTCTCCCTTCCTGGCGTAGCCCGAACAACAATCATTGTGTGTGTGTGTGTGTGTGTGTGTGTGTGTGTGTGTGTGTGGTGTCGTGTTCTCCCTTTGGGGCCAATTTTTGGGCCGTCTTGGGGCCCTCTCGGGCCCTCGTGGGGGCCTTCTGGTTGTCTTGGGATGATCTCTGGGATCTCCGAAGCCGTCTTGGACGCTCTTACGTAATGCCGAAAGGCGTCATATCAGGCAATAGCCAATAGCCAATGATTGTTAGATGATTTTGGCCTCTTGTGTGGTCCCCGCGACCTCCAAGACGGCCCCAAAGCTCCTCAGAGAGCGCCAGGACAGTCTGTTGGGGCGGTCTCGGTGCACATGGAAGGTATGAACCTCCAGCCACGCTCCCAAGGAAAGTCACACGAAAAGCTCCCGAGAGCGCCATTCAATACAGAGAGCTCGAATGGACTTGATAACACTCCACTCAGTGCCTTCGGCACTTTGGCTGACTCTCGGCTGCCCAGTGTGCGCAACCAATGGCGCAACCCCTCGGGCGACGCATGGATGGCGCATCCCATTGCGCAACGAATGGCACAACCTATGAATGGCGCACCCCCCCACAGCGCACCCCGCGGATGGTGCAACCCGCGGATGAAGCAGCCTACGACTCAACCCTTCGATCGCGCAACCCATGGCGCAATCAATGAGGCAACCCACGGATGGCGCGGCCTAAATCGATTGGTGGCGCAACCCATGGCGCACCCTAGCGGCGGCACACCCCCCGAGCTGTTTCTGTGGGGCTACGCCTGATATATGCACCGTGTGGGCTGGCGGTGGGGCCCAAGCGGCGAGCTGTCTTGTGATTGTTGTCTGGGGGCCCTCTGTGTGGCCAGTGGTGGCGGCCTCGTGGCCACGGCTGAATGCGCCTCGCAGTTCTGGCCAGGGCGCGTCCCAGGACAGGTCTGGTGGCCGGTGGTCGTCGTCATCGTCGTCCTTTTTCCGAGCAGCCGGGAACCTGCGGGTGTGGTGAGACACATGCATGGTGAAGGCATGCCCTTCTCCTTCTGCCCTCCTCCTCCTCCTCCGCCTTCCCCTCCTCCTGCTTCACGTCGTTCTTTTCCTTCGCCTTCCGCTCGTGGCGACTTCTGGCTCGACAGCCCCGCGCGAGCGGCATGGGGCCCTCGCCACGGCGGGCAGCCTGTGCGGGTGGGTGGCGGCTCCCCTGCGGCCGTCGGGCGGCCCAGCTCGCGGCCAAGCCGAGCGCGCTGGCGCGCGCGGCGGGCCGCCGGGGGGCTGCGGAGGGCGGAGGGCCCCGCCGCTGGGCGGCGGCTGCCGCAGCCTCGGCGGTGCTCGGTGGCAGCCGCCCTGCTCTCGCCCTCCCCGCCCGCAGGGGCTGCGGAGCCCGGGCCACGCGGCTGCTGGCCCGCATGGCGGGGGCGCCCTCGGGCGTGGCGCGCGCTCGAGGAACCGCTGCGGGCGCGGCAGGCCCAGCGCGGCGGGCGCCCCGCGCCGCCCGTGGCCCCCGACGGCGGGCAGAGAGGCGCCGTGCCTCACCCCCAGGACAGGGGCGGCAGAGGGGGCCCCGCCAGTGCCAAGCGGACGTCGCGAACGTGGCGCCGCGGCAGATGTTCGGTGGCCGCCGCGCACCTGCAGCTCCTGGAGGGCTGGCGAACGACTTGCACCCGTCGCCGGGATACGGGTCCCAGACGCTGGCTGGCGGAGGTCGCTGGCGTGAGCCACTTCGGTTTCGGTTTGCTGTCCGCGACACCGGCGTCGTGGCCCTCGCCACGGCAGCCGCAGGATGGGGATCATGGCTGCGGTGCTGCTGCGCCGAACGGAGGTGTAGAACCAGCAGTGTGCGCGGCGCTTGGACGGCGGCCTCGGCGCCTGCCACGAGGGGGAGACAGCGCTCCGCCTGGGGCAGGCTTCCGCCCTGCGGAGCCCGTGCGGCGCGGGTTTCGCTTGCATACCTCGGCCGCGATGCCATTGGCTTCTGTGCCGCGCTGGCTGGCGGGCAGGCGCCGTGGCGGCAGGCGGGTGGTGGGGGAGCTCCTTGTGTGCACGACGCAGGCCCAGATCAGGCGCCCCGGGAGGGCCTCATCGGGGAGGGGAGGGAGGCTGCCGCGGCGCGCTCGTCTGCTCGGCGGGGGCAGTGGGAGATCGCACCGTGGCATTGCGGACGGGGCTTGCGGCCTGACGGGCGTGGGCGAGGGCGCGGGTCTGCGCGGGAGCCTCCCCAGGGGCGCGGTCGGCACAGAGGAGCGAGTTGCGGAGCACTCGGCTGGTGGACTCCGACGGGCCGGGCCGTGGAGGGCACGGACTCGTTCGATGGTGCGGGTAACCCCCATGTTTCCTTCTCCTCTTTTGCGCGGTAGCCCGTGCGCAGCACCGTGGCGGGGTCGAAAGCTCGCAGCCGACGCGCACGCGCCCAGGGGAACAAGCAAGGCAGGGAAGCGGACTCGATGGGGGATGCCCCAGAGAATGCCTCACCCGTCCGCGGAGAACCACTGATATCCACATGACACCCAATGTTTCAACGCGCGTCCATGCAGCCAGCGATGGCGGCGCATGGGGATGCAGAGACTGACCACGGAGGCGGGCGCGACGACACACGGTCAATCGGCCACGCCCAGCGAATGCGCAGGAGCACGTCCGAGGAGCAGGAGCCCAGCTATCCTCCTCCTCCTCCTCCTCCTCCTCCTCCTCCTCCTCCTCCCCCTCTTCTTCCTTCACCTCCTTGTGCTTGCCTCCTCCTCTTCCACCGCCACCTCCTTCTACCCCCACCTGTTGGTGTCTCATAGCCTACTGCGCGGTTGGTGCTTGCGGACCTGCGTGCCAGATGGCGCCGCGTGCCGATCCGTGTCGTCGTCGACCTCCACCCTCCACTTCCTCCTCCTCCTCCTCCTCTTTCTCCTCCTCCTCCCCTCCCGCGGTTTCCTTCGGGAAGGCTCTGGATCCATCCAGGTCCCTTCCCCACCCAGAAACGCAGCCCACGCAGGCTTGTTGTTCTTCATCGTCGACTGCCTCCTCCTCCTCTCTCTCCTGCCTCGTCCTCCTCCTCCTCCTCCTCCTCCTCCTCCTCCTCCTCCTCCTCCCCCCCTCCCCTCCCCCTCTCCTCCTCCCTCCTCCTCCTCCTCCTCCTCCTCCTCCTCCTCCTCCTCCCTCTCCCCCTCCCCCTCCTCTTCTGCATCTTCATATATATATATATATATATATTCCCCACATCCTGAGTGGGGTTCTTGTTTTCCCAGAACACCCTCTCCTTCCCACCCACCTCCCGCTCCATCTTCCATACAGCACAATATTATTCCTACCACACACACCATACCATACCATAGTTCCTACCACACATACCATACCATACCATACCATACCATACCACACCATACGTACCATACCGTACCATACCATACCATGGCGTACCATAGCATACCATACCATATCACACCAATGCCACACCGTACCATACCATACCATACCTCCAGTACCATACCATACCATATCATACCATACCGTACCATACCATACCTACCATACCATTCCATACCACTCCATACCGAAAACCATACTACTTACATGGTTTCGTGCCCCTCCCACCCCTCCAGGGAGGCCCCGCCTGAGCGAGGAGGGTATCGGAAAACCATACTATTTACATGGTTTCGTGCCCCTCCCACCCCTCCAGGGAGGCCCCGCCTGAGCGAGGAGGGTATCGGAAAACCATACTATTTACATGGTTTCGTGCCCCTCCCACCCCTCCAGGGAGGCCCCGCCTGAGCGAGGAGGGTATCGGAATACCATACTATTTACATGGTTTCGTGCCCCTCCCACCCCTCCAGGGAGGCCCCGCCTGAGCGAGGAGGGTATCGGAATACCATACTATTTACATGGTTTCGTGCCCCTCCCACCCCTCCAGGGAGGCCCCGCCTGAGCGAGGAGGGTATCGGAATACCATACTATTTACATGGTTTCGTGCCCCTCCCACCCCTCCAGGGAGGCCCCGCCTGAGCGAGGAGGGTATCCGAAAACCATACTATTTACATGGTTTCGTGCCCCTCCCACCCCTCCAGGGAGGCCCCGCCTGAGCGAGGAGGGTATCGGAAAACCATACTATTTACATGGTTTCGTGCCCCTCCCACCCTCCAGGGAGGCCCCGCCTGAGCGAGGAGGGTATCGGAAACCATACTATTTACATGGTTTCGTGCCCCTCCCACCCCTCCAGGGAGGCCCCGCCTGAGCGAGGAGGGTATCGGAATACCATACTATTTACATGGTTTCGTGCCCCTCCCACCCCTCCAGGGAGGCCCCGCCTGAGCGAGGAGGGTATCGGAAAACCATACTATTTACATGGTTTCGTGCCCCTCCCACCCCTCCAGGGAGGCCCCGCCTGAGCGAGGAGGGTATCGGACAACCATACTATTTACATGGTTTCGTGCCCCTCCCACCCCTGCAGGGAGGCCCAGCCTGAGCGAGGAGGGTATCCGAGCACCATACTATTTACATGGTTTCGTGCCCCATCCCACCTCTCCAGGGAGGCAGGAAGAGGAGGGGGAGGAGGAAGAGACCGTGAAATATCTTTTTGTGGGGAACTCCGTTAGCTTTTTTTTTTTTTTTTTTTTTTTTTTCTCTCTCTCTCTCTCTCTCTGTCCCTGGCCCCTCTTTCCACGACCCTTTCTTCCCCCGTTTCGTAGAGTGGTTTTCCGGCTTCATCCAGGTTCCAAGAAATTCCACGTGACCTTCCTCCTCCTCCTCCTCCTCCTCCTCCTCCTCCTCCTCCTCCTCCTCCTCCTCCTCCTCCTCCTCCTCCTCCTCCCCCTCCTCCTTCCCCCTCCCCCTCCTCCCTCCCCCCTTCCTCCTCCTCCTCCTCCTCCT